AAAAGGAGCTCTCCTGTGCACAGTTCCGCACCAGCCCAAAGGAACATTAATTGGTTGCTTCGAAGCAACCTGAGGGGATGTGGCACAAGCAGCAGCAGCTCCGCACTGGAGCTGGCCGCGTTCCCGCAGCGAGAAGCAGAAGGGCTGGTGCTGGCAGAGCAGGGCTCGACGCGCGGCGGCCTCTTCGCGCTATCTAATTAATTGCTGCGTCTCCTGTGCACAGTTCCGCACCAGCCCAAAGGAACATTAATTGGTTGCTTCGAAGCAACCTGAGGGGATGTGGCACAAGCAGCAGCAGCTCCGCACTGGAGCTGGCCGCGTTCCCGCAGCGAGAAGCAGAAGGGCTGGTGCTGGCAGAGCAGGGCTCGACGCGCGGCGGCCTCTTCGCGCTATCTAATTAATTGCTGCGTGTCATTTTTTTCATCTGAGCAAGCCTCTGCACAGAGGGCAATTCATTTTCCTAAAAATGTGGTGATTGTCTGGGGCCCAGAGCAGCCTCCTCGTGACTCGATCGCTCAGATACGTATTACTGAGAGCGGAGCCACAAAATAATGAAGATGCTGTGATTTTAATAACTGATGGAAAAAACAAATTGGATCTTACCATCTCATCTCGAGCTTCTGTCTCTTTCCGCAGAGGAGGCTCAAACTGCAGCTTATCAACTGCAAAACATTATGTTTGCAACTTTAATATACACTAATGCATTTTTAATGCTTAATGCATCAGTGAAAAACATGTAGTAACAATCACGGTGATATATGCAGTTTTAATCTGCCTACAAAATATGATTATCACTTGAAATATCACCATTTTTCATGAAGTCTTAATTGCCTAAATGATTAAATTTGCAAATGCGAAACTCACAAGAAGGAAACTGAGAAAGAAAATACAAAGTCATACAGTGAAAGCATAATAAAATGTGACCATGTAACCACGTTACTTTTAATGCATGTGAATTTTTTTTTCTTAAAAAAAAAAAACAGTAAGCCTCCTAAGAGTGACAAGTATGTGACTCTGAGAAACAGACAGTATTTAAATTGCAATGTCCAAATCTGGAAAAAAATAGTTTCTACCCTCAGAAATTCATCTTATATCCTACAAGGTAAAAAATTAATACCGTTTTAAAGGGAAAAAAGAAAACATTTAAAATGCACTAAAATAAGACAAGCTGTGGTGAGGACAGCTACTGCCATCACAAGGAAAGTACCTCCTCAGGGTCAAGAGGAGGCTTAAGGAACTAGTGTGGTACAACAGCGTGTGGTACAAACAGAAAATTCTGGGCTTTTCCTGTGTTTTCTCATCACAGCAAATCAGCCAAGCTACTCCTGCAAAAAGATGCCCTCTGAAATATCAGCCCACTCTAATTTTCTGATGTTGGCAGGCAATTCGTTTCAGCTACAACTATATGGTCTGCCATAAATCACAGTACTGAGAGCCTATACTGGTCATGCAAGGTTTCCACATAAACATTACTCTCCAGCAATGACTTGAAATGAAATAGTGGAAAAAACACGCAAGTTTTAATTTTGGTTTTGGGAAAAAATATTGAAAATTTGTGTTTTTGTGTTGTTTTTTTTCAGGTTTTGTTTCTCAAGTGTGCAGAAAGAGCAGAAGAGGCTTTCCAGGGCGTATAATAAAAGAGTAACACCAACATCCTTTATGGGTAAACGTAAGGCAACCCTGCAATATGGGCAGAATAGGTTAGGGACTTACAGTTTATCTCAGAGGCTGTTCTTTCTGCCCGAACATTCCTGTTTGTAGAACGAATTGTGTGGCGAATAACGGAGTGCGGCTGGAAGAGTTGGGAACAGAGAAGCTTAGGGAGGTTCTGTGGCTTTCATTGCATCTCAGGCAATAATCAAATTAACAAAGACAAACAAAGAAGTCTCATATTGTCACCTACACCACCTTTACCCTAGCCAAGACCCTGCACCACCATGCACAGGAATTTTCCATGTATTCTACAGTGGAAGTGTAACAAACCCCGTAGTAAGATTTCCTGTTTTCACCAGCACTGCAACTTCCAGGAGGTTTAGAAATGATGGAGCAGTGCCCTGTCAAGCTGGACATTACGCAGTGAAAGCAAAGCAAGGTGGTTTCACCGAAAATAGAAGATGTTCTCACCTCAAAATCATCGTCATCTGCTTCACTGTAGTGTGCGTGGTTATCAGGATTATTAACTTTGTCCAACAGCTCAACTGCTAAAGACCTTGAAAGCCCAGGCTGCCCTACAAAACTATGCTAAAACCACAAAAAAAAAGACAAGTTACGATAAGCAAATGTTATGTAACGAACACTCACTATAAAATCTGTTATTAAATTTTGTCTAATAGTTTTCTAGGGGCTTGAATGTTTCTTTAATGACACCTGAGGGCTAGATGTCTAAGCTCCCCAGCAGCATGGGAATGCCACGCTTTTGGTCAGCTTTAATTGGTAATTAAACACCGAGTCACACAAACAGTATCTTAATTTTTCACATGAGTAGTTCATTCAAGTTTAATAAGACAGAATTAGACATGTGAAAAACTGCTAAATGGATCAGTTCCCTGCTTGAATGACAGGAGGGGTCAGCATTCAACCTGTGCAGGCCAAGGACGAAAAACGAGGCCACACTGAGCAGTTTTCAGTAACAGAAACTGTATAAACTCTTGACAGTGAATAAAATCTTGGTACTGCCTACAGCAGGACATCTCTTCCATTCAGATTTCAGCAGAAAGAAAAACATTGCAGTCTGGTTCTCTAGTGATTTGCTATTCACTTTGAAGCGAGATCATTTAGTGACATCATGAAAAGGTCCAGGTCACTTACAGAAAGGAGCCTTTCTGCTGTTGGCCTCTTCTTTGGATTTTTTGTAAGTGCTATTTTGACAAAATTGTGGAATATCGATGACCTTTAAAGGAAAAAAAAAAAAAAAAGCTTTTCAAAAAGCTATTAAATTTCAGTAATTTCAGTATAGTGACAAGACAGATTACAACAGAACTTGCTAAACTAGAACGATGTCCAAGTATCTCAGTGCATCTCAGATCTGAGTAATTATGTTACCATGCTAACCAGACAGGAAAAAGAAAAAACATTTGATTCATGGACCTTGCACGGAAAAAGTTTTGGTAAGATATAGAAAATAAACCAAACACACATGGTGTTATTCCTACTTTTTCAAATGTCAGTTATTATGAAGCTAGATAATCACCAACGAAAACTGTGAGTTAGGTACCCAGCAAACCCTCAGAACCTAAGGAAACCCTCCTATTCACTGCTCATGGTCATGAGCAGAAAAATAAAGTAAGAGGAGAAAAAATAAGGACTCGATCTACTCTTTAAAACCCTTCATTGCCATTTTCGAAACAGTTTAGGTGATTGCATCATATTATCCCTTTTAAAATTTGAATTATAATATGATACTACTCCGAGACCTACAGGCGTTGTACAGGACTTTGACAAGCATTTTTCTTGCCACTGCATTTGGATGAATGCACCTGTGAACACCAGCCCAAATCTGCTCACATTCAGGATATGTTATGGAATGTCCTTCTCCTTCTGGCCTGAGCATCTGAGAAAAAGGCCCTGGAGAAGGATGGTGCCTTGGTTGGGGCTGCGCCGCGCTGCGCTGGATACAGGGAACACGCACGTGGGGAGTGTTTCTGCCCTTCCCTTTGCTCTGATCCACCCCTTAAGGTAAAAAAGCTGCAGGGAGGGAGTGTGAACAAAGCACCTGGCAAACTAGAATGGTTTGGGGTGTCAAAATTAAATGTCACTAAGTGCACGGAAAACCCTGCATAGGCCAGGAAGGTAACACAAGTCAAAGAAATGACTGCAGAATGTGTATTGCAGGGGAAGGATAAAATCAACTCTCCTTCCTAGGACGTACAAAGTGGCTCCAAGGGGGGTGACCTCCTTTCCCTTGGGATTGGTGGCAGAGATCACATTAGGTAGGATGCCCTAGCACGTTTCAGCCCTTCCAAAATCAGACATTTCATAATGGAAAAAGGTCACCTTTGAGGCAAGGAAATAACACCATTTGTGTACAGACTTCTGTTGCATCTAAGTACTTACAGAACCAAAGCATTTTCTTATTCATTGCTAGCTTAGCTTTATCATGGTATGTAAGAAACATTGGTTTAACTCACCATTTTGCTTTTTCCTTTAGCTTTGGTGGCTGAAAATTACTTTTTGACATTAAAAACAATGCCCTAAAGATAAAGGGAGAACAATATAATTATATGATAAAGATAAATTTTATCTTTACACACCTAAACACTTGGAATACATGTTCTCCTTCATACTACAATTCCCCTTCAAGATAGGAATCAAACTGATAAAACTGCATCATAGTCTACATTGTGTTAGAAGACAGACACCACAAGGGTGTTGATCTTCTGATCTTTAAATTGTCATGCATAAGCCTGTTATATTTAACACGATGGTTTCTCTACTTATTTTACTATATCCACGCTTATTCCCAATGCTGATGATGTTATAAAGTTTGAAACACACTTAAATTTTTCAGGAATAATTTTCATTTTAAATTGAAGTCTTTCACTCCGGATTATGGCTTAGGGGCAAACACGGCCCTCACGGAAACTAGGTGCTTGGTGGAGGAGCCCTAGCCGGAATTCCTGAGCTGGGAGCTGGGCTGATCCCGGGACAGCGCGGCCGCCG